TTTTTTTTTTTTTTTTTTTTTTGGCAAAGTAGCCCTTGCACTAGCTCTCCATCCCGGTGGTGGTAAGAGAACCGTCAAAATTGAGGGCTTATCTGTCGGGTTGCTCCATCTATTGGCGGGGAGCGGCACCTGCTGGAGACCGGGTCCAGCATCCCATAATTCCCATTGATACAGCTTGTTACACAAAGATTGTTGTTTGTTGTTTCCTGGGGGCCCTTCACAATGCCTTCTCCTTCCTTCCTGAGTCTCATCCTCCCTTTACTTCATCTCTCCCCTTGCTATCTCTTTACTCCCTCCTTTGTGATTCTTCCCCCTTCTATTTCCCTTAGTGATCCTTATGTTTCCTCACACTCCAATCGAGTCTAATGAAGAACACATTCAACCCACATTTCTGGTCAGGTTCGGCCAAAATGAGGGCGCTACGTTGCATTCGAGAGGAAAAACAAAGTCTTCTTCCTTCTTATGCTCCCACTTCCCCCTTTCTCCTTCAGTGTCATCTTTGTCCTCTTCTCTTAGTACACTCTCCATCCCTCCATTTCAACCTTAATATCTGCCCCTACTTTCCATCTCTGTCACCTTCAACATCTCGTGCTAGTTTGCCTGCTAATACGACCAGATTCAAAGACTTCAGTTTGCCTGCTAATACGACCAGATTCAAAGACCTCAGTTTGCCTGCTACTACAACCAGATTCAAAGACTTCGGTCGTGAACTGTAAGAAAAATGAGTCAGAGTGATAAATAGAAATCCAATTTTGCAAGCTCGCGTTGTTCACAGATCATAATCATATACCAATCAGAGACCACATTGCACCAAGATCTCATCCCAATTAGAGCAATATAGGGAACTCAATGTGCTACTAGCCAACCCTCTCTGGCCACACCCACATAGTATGTAATGTTGCTCCTTCTCATCGGCGTCCCCCGCCCAGCCTACATCACTCAGTCTATCTAGCCAACCTACGCTCATGCAATATGATCACATCGAAGTTGAAGACTAAGGTACGTGACGTTACCATCAACGCAGACTGTCAACATACACCTAGGTACGTTTCTCCCTCTTCGCTCTTTCTCTCCCTCTCTTCCTATTGAAACGGTATTCACCAATTTGTGGTAGCTGAGGTAGATCCCAGGGCTCGATCCCTAGTTCCCCAACTTACCTGTGTACAATACCTGCGTCAACTCGAAGAGTTGAACCTGCGACCTGTAGAACCGCCAGTGGTCAAGTGGTGCAGGCAAGTGGTCAAGTGGTGCAGGCAAGTGGTCAAGTGGTGCAGGCAAGTGGGCAAGTGGTGTGACT